TGAGTTTACATTTTTGCAATTATCTGCTAAACTGGAGTAAATTAAATTCAGGGAAGGCAACAAAAGACAAAGGTGGCAGAGATGTGCTGTAATGGCATAGAGCTAAATAGGGTGAGAGAAACACACGCAAGCATTTCACCTGGGTAATGGCAACACCACTCTTAGGAGCTCAACAGCCCGGAAATTCTGAAAGGCTGCTTCTGGAAGGGGAGTAATTACGATGCCCACAGCTATCTCACCTCATGCTGGGATCCTGCACAACATAACAAGCAATGGCAATGCTGTCTTTCCTGCTAGTTTTCTACAAGCTCCCAGAGAAAGCGGTGGCAAGGCAAGTGAGAGAAATTCTGGACAGTAACGGATTGTTTGATAAATTTCATCCTGGATTCAGGCACAGCCATGCTACTGAGACTGCCCTTGTCAAAGTCATAAACAGTTTGAATGCCGCTGCTGAAAAGGAAGCCTGGCCTTGTTTGTACTATCAGATCTAGCCATGGGGGGGTTATTCTGTAAAAGGCTGGATTCTGTTGCAGTGCCTAGGTGACTGGCTAGTGTTGACTGAGAATGCATTGAAATGGTTCCAGCGGTACTTGATTGCTTTCCCCAATCAACATAGTAGGGTAAATTCTCCTCGAGAGCAGCCAGTTTCACATAATGACACTTGATCCCAGGGAGAATTCACCAGCGACCTGACTTAGCTGGCACTGAAGCTTTGCTCTCTTTCTCTCGCCTTTCTTAGAGATATATGAGATGCATTAGAGCACTGTATTAGAACTCCTTTTTGGCTTTGTTGAAGAGGACTATATTTCTAAAAGTGCTAACAATCAGATATTCAGAAGCAAAAGACTTTCTTGTGCAATCCAGATTATTAATAGAGATAAGACACTTGTTTGTACCTGTTAATTTGAAGCCAGAATTCTTTTTAATTGGTTGGGGGTTTTTTGTAAAGAGGCCTGAATTCTGTTTGTAAATCTGGAGTAAGAGTACTGACACCAATGGATACATACAGCTGTAAATAACTTAAAAGGAGAATCTGACTCAACTGTCTGAAAACCAGACGTCACTGAATAACTTTCCATGGGACTTCAGCTTACATTTATGACCAGTAAGCCTAACAAAAAGACTCCAGTGCTCACATCCACTCTGATTCAACCAGTACTCTGGTAGCATTTTAATCCTGTAGAATTTTTCTCTATGGCTTCTCAGGCTGTAGTGAGGCTGCGACCTGCAAAGGGTTTGCAAACCTGAGACCAAATACCTGAAAAGGGGTTTGGCACAGATCTTTCTGTATCTCATCAGTGGGAAAACATATTTGCTTCTTCCCAAGATGCCTCTCATCGCTAATATCTAGTATCTGAAATTAACATCCAATGAGATTACCTGCAAATTCTTCAGTCTGAGATGATCATCGATGTAACTAAAAAGGCTAAGTTGCAGAGGAAATTTGGATGAACTTTCTCATTTGTAAAAGATACAGGTTCTTAGTAACTACAACTTAAGGGTATGTAAAATCAGAATATGATTAACAATCTTCTGTGAACTTCACAGACACAAAATGTGCAGTATGCAAAAGAGCTATCCTGAGTAATTAATTTATGCATCAGCTTTCTCATGTCTTCTTATGTCCATGAGCTGCAGTAGCCTGTTATCTTCAAGGCAACTATAGAAGGGGGAGGGTGGTGTCTGGTTTTTTTTACTTCATGACATACTTTAAATTATTTAAAAAGACAAATTATGTTCAAGTGCAGTGGAAACCTAAACAAACCTGAATTTGAAACCTTTATTCCTTATTAAAAAATAAAAAAACAATTAAATCTAAGCACATACTTATTTTCTTACTAAAACAAAGTAAGAAATGTATGCAATGTATATAGCATACATTAAATCTGTAGGACATTTCAGCTTTCCATTTTCACCCAACATGCACATTAGAAATCTGAACAGGAAGTTTATTAACATTTAGTGATAAATCGAAGAATAGTATTTCACAGATGGCATAAAGGGATCAGAATTTGATTTGCCATGCTTATTAACACCCTTGAACAAGCTCTATTTAAGAAGCTAGAAGAAAACATAGCATATCCATTTTTTCCCAATGAATCTTAATTTCTATTAGTCATCCCCTGACTTGTAAATCAATCAGGTATTTTTCCTATGGAAATACCTATACATTCACATTGAGAATACATATACTTTGCTTTAAAATGGCCTTTTAATAGTTTCTTTTTTATATTAGGCTTCCCAAAAAAATAATTAGACTTAGTACAAACTGATGACTTCAGGTTTTGCATGTTGCATTATGGTTAACCAATCCATGGCAGGGCCCTCAAAGCTGGCTTCTTGGTTCAGTAGTGTGCATACCTTTTGCTAATACCCTCATTGCTAATCATAACTTGGGAGAATAAATCCTGTTACAAGTTGAAAACCATTTTACAATTAACTCATAAATAAGTAGACCATAATTACATTATGTTATCTCACTTTGTTTTGACAGTCTCCTACCACGCTTTGAACAAGCAAATTAGATGTACAGTGCTGGGTGATATATGGGAGGGAATGTTGCAAAGGACAGACTTTAATGACCTGAGTTTGAAAGGATCGTGTAAAGGTTCATCACTTAGATCATTTCAGAGAGAGATAAGACCACTGTTTTGTTTATTTCCTCTGCTTTGCTTTGCTTTTTGGCGCTTCATAGTAAACCATCTTACCTATGTCATTGCACAAGACAAAGAGAGACAGGACTTAACAATTTCTTAAGAGTTCTTTCAACAGTTCTGAAAACATAGCTATTTTTCTATGCCAAGCCAACACTGTTTCAATGTCTTAATATTTCAAAATGGACCAAGATGAAATACAGATGGTTCATATTATTAAGATAACATTAGCATTTTGTTGGGCACAGGAAGTATTTGCAGCCGCAGTAGGTTATGAGGTACAGGGACATAAACCTGTCTTCTGACCCCTTTCTGGCCTACTGAGTAGGGTAAGCTAGGGAGAAAATCCACTCTGAGGGAGAACAATATTTTAAAGAAAGTTGGAGCGAAGGAACTGTCATTCAAAATTAGCCAGACTTTGAATTTTATTTCCACCTAGTCATACTTAGCCTTCCATATCTTCAAAATAAGGTTGACTAACCTTCTGTGATGTGATTAAATGTCCTTGAAATTGTGTGCACACACGTAGAAGGAAATAGAGTAAGTAAACATACTGCCAAATATTCATAGTAGCTCTTAGGATACTGTGTTTTGGGTCTGTAACCAAAACAGTGTTGATAACACAGGGATGTTTTAGTTATTGCTGAGCAGTGCTTACGCAGAGCCAAGGCATTTTCTGCTTCTCACACCACTCTACGAGCAAGTAGGCTGGGGGTGCACAAGAAACTGGGAGGGGACACAGCTGGGACAGCTGACCCAAACTGACCCAAGAGATATTCCATACCATATGGCATAATGCTCAGCAATAAGAGCTGGGCAAAGGAGAAAAGGGGGATGTTAGGAGTGATGGCAGTTGTCTTCCCAAGTCATTGTTAAGTGTGATGGAGCCCTGCTGTCCTGGAGATGGCTGAACACCTGCCTGCCCATGGGAAGCAGTGAATGAATTCCTTGTTCTGCTTTGCTTTACGTATTAATCTGTCCCATGAGTTTTCTCAGTTATACTCTTCTGATTCTCTCCCCCATCTTACTGGAAGGAAGTGAGCATGCAACTGTGTGGGGTTAAGCTGACAGCCAGGGTTAACCTACAACAGATTGCTGAGTGGCAATAATATTGCATCATTTACCACAACAAGCACTTAAAAGCATGAATGGTAAAAGCAACAAAATTCATACTTGGACTACTCAGGAATCTCTCTTTTCCATTCGATAAGGGCAAAGGAATGACACTAACCAATACTAAGAAAATTTCTGCAAGGCAAAACTTCCTTGTCTGAGAGAGATGAGGATATGGCAGTAAGCACAGTAGAAGCTGAGAAGAAATAGGACATGTGATTCTGTGTTTTAGCCGACTAGAGAAAGAAGGCTGCCACCTCCTGTATATATGAGTCTGGAAGAATGTGCAGGGTCAGGAAATGTGAAGACTTTTATAAAAGGCAACAACTGAAGATGCAAGGTTATAGCCTGACAAATGGCAAATGGCTGTTCTCCACAGTGACTAGGAAAGCTTGTGGAGGAGATGAAGGAATTTGCCTCAGCCATCAGCTCACTGAGAGGGTGACCAGATATTGCCAAGGAGACATCCATTTGTGTTTTCAGTTTGGATGGAAGTGGTCTGGATCAGAATTGGACTTGTGAATTTCAGCACAGAGACAGAAGTTGAGTTTGTGCCTTGAAGTCAGTAGGTCAGGCAGTAGGTAGGCTAAGGAAGGGTGGAGGTCTGTTTGAGGAGAAGTCAGTGGAGACCTTGGCACAAGCAACGCCAGTGGAATTGCAGCAGATGGCTCAGCACTGAGCTGGAGATGAACTCCAGGCAGCAAAAGTAAACAGCACTCTCAGCATGCTTACCGATAAGAGGGAGAAGGAGGGTGAGATGGTAGTTGTGGAGGCAAGAGGGCTCAACGTGTGTTTTCAGAGTGGAGAGATTAAACACACACTTGTTTTGAGAGGAGGGAGAAACCAAGGCAAGTACCAGTGTACAGACAGGAGTAGAAAAAGAGGTAAGCAAGCACCAGGGGATGGAATAACTTGTTATGTTTAATGCTTGTATCCGTTTTGCAGATCAGAACTGCACTAATTTGGGAAGCAGTTTATATAATCCATAAAAATGCATTTTATTAGTTGGGTTTTTTTGCTTTGAATCACTGACTTCTAAAGAATGAGAACAGCTATAAATGCTATTGTCTCCACAGGCAGCAGTTTGGAAATAGAAGATGCATGGTTACATGATAAGTGTATTTTCTTCATAAAAAGATGTTTGAAAATCAGGTTTAAAATAAGGGAAAAATAACTTTAAAATATTCTGCACTTCAGAAAATAATAAAATGTCTCCTTATTTTCCCCTGGTAGGCCACGCAATGCAGATTACTTTATGCAGGAAGCTAAACGGAAGAAGCATAAAGCAGATGCAATGGTAAGAACATTTTCTTTCCAGTTATGTTGTTCCAAATTATTTTTGTAATGCAGTTTCTTCATCAGTGCAGTATTGCTGGGGTAATTATAAAATCTATTATAAGGATGGCTAAGCTTGTTAAATTAAGAAATGTTTATATAATCAAATGTTCATAGCCCAATAAACTATGACTTAACAAATAATGACTTACTGAGATAAAGGCCTGGATAAATAAAACTTCCCATTTATTCCTTTGCTTTAATTAGTAACTATAGTAATGGAGGCTGTGTAAGAGATCCACATACCTATTTCCTCAGTTTAACTAGCTGGCTAAGTCCTATAATTGTATCCCCAAATTTGTTCTGGTGGCTGAGATATTTTTACTTTTTTTAAAGAGCTTTGGCACTTCAGTGCCAAAAGAATCCTGGTTACATGGCAGATGTTTCCCAACATAATCAGAAGCACACAAGGAATTTGTACAACCCTAGAGGAACACCTTGCACACAAAAGACTATTGCAGCAGATTCTTGGCCTTGGTTTTGACCTGTCTAAAATTGTAGCGGGTAGGAAAAAGGTGAATCTGAGGTTATATGGAGCACTAAAGAGATGCTTCTCTTTCAAAACAAATGGAGAGGGACTTTTTACAAGGGCATGTGATAGGACAAGGGATAATGGCTTTAAACTGAAAGAGGGTAGATTTAGATCAGATATTAGGAAGAAATTCTTTACTACAAGAGTGATGAGGCCCTGGCACAGGTTGCCTGGAGAAGTTGTGGCTGCCCCATCCCTGGCAGTGTTCAAGGCCAGGTTGGATGAGGCTTTGAGCAACCTGGTCTAGCAGAAGGAGTCCCTTCCCATGGCAGGGGGGGTGGAACTACATGGTCTTTAAGGTCCCTTCAAACCCAAACCATTCTGCAATTCTGTGATTCTATGACAAAGGGACGCAACAAAGTACACAGTGCTCCAGGAGAGCTCCTTTGGCCATCTCTCAGCTTTCTCCCAGGCTACTTTTGTCCAGTGCTACAAATAAATTATCAAAGCCTTAAAAACATGCAGCCTCCAGGATGGAGTGGGACCCTACATTAATATGGCTAACTTCCAGGTGGGGGTAGATTTGCTGACAGACACTTTCTTGTCTCAGCAGCAGGAAAGTAGCTCAGAGTCTCTCCTTCTTCACCTCTGTGAAGAATGTAAAAAGGCCAAAGCAGCAGAAGCAGGCCCTTAATTTAGGACACTAACACCTAGTTTTACACTCTACCTGAGTTTATTAGCGCAAATTTCCGTGGTTTATTCAGTTCCATATTACTCTAAAGTGAGTCTTAAATCAGAAAATATTGTGGAGAAGTACAAATGGTGCATTTTAGTGTGTTGCTTTAAACAGAATGGAAAAGATCACTTAATATGCAAAGGAAATTCTTAGCCTGAAGAGAAATGTTTTTATGGTAGACTCCCAGAAACAGGAGGTGCAAGCATTATTCTCTACTCTGCCACAATTTTCCTGCATGAAAGTCACTTAGGCACCTTAATAGCCTCCCATCAGTATTAGGTGATTGAAATATCCACACTCAGCTTCTCTACACAGTGGACTAGCACCTTACTTAGCTTGTGAATCTCCCTTTGCAGGTACTTCCTTTCCCTCCTTGACTCTTGCAGGGATCCTGGAGGAAATGCCGTATTGTCAATGTGCCTCCAGGCACTTTGAATCACCTTGCTGGGTCTGATACCTCCTACTTTGGCACTGCAGTACCTAACATAGGCAGTTAGAGTGCGCATCCTGAAAATTACTCTAAGCCTCTCTGCTCCTTAGTCCCCCATCTGTGAAATTGGGATAATAGCACTTCCACCCGCACAAGAGCATCGGGAAGAGAAATATAATAAAAAGTTTGTGAAGTTCTCCAATATGATTGCAAGGGGAGTCATATAAGAACCTAAAATAGATTGAAGCCAGTGTGCCATTCCGAAGTTGCTATTTAAAATCTTTATCCCTTGGAAAAGAATAAGGTCCATTAACCTTTCACTGTGTGCATCAGATTTCATCCAGATGCATCCAGTCCATTAATGGGCTTTATGTACCGCAGGAGTTCTGACTGAAGGAAAAAGAAGGCAGGACAGAGAGGTATTAGTATGATTCATCTCAATCCACATAAAAATGAAATTCTGAGATCAGATAAGTGGTAAGTGTACACATATGAACATTATGTGCACATATACATGGGCACCATCATTGAGAACTTATGTGCATGTACATCCATACAAGTACACAAATACACACAAGCAGAGTCAAAGAAGTACTGAAAATAAAGAAATGGGGCAGGATGGCATAAATAAAGAAGGAGGAAAAGAAACAAATGAGGCAGGACAACATAGATAAAGAAGGAGAATGGCATAAAAAACTGAAGGAGCAGAGCAGTACCTGAAAAAGAAGGAGGATATAGAAAGCAAACTCCTGAAAGAGGAGAGTATGGTCAAGCAGTGCTGACAATGGTAGGCATAAAAAAGACATGAGAACAGAGATAAGCCTTTCAGTAGGAGTTAGTAGTATTTAAGTATTTAATTCTCATTCTCTGAGTTCAAGATAATCACCTTTTTTTGTTGACTGATGATGAAAAACTACATTTTCAAAGAAGTGTGAAATGCTTTTTAATGAAAGCTGAAACAAAAGGCCTGATGATGGAATTTCCAGCACTGGAAGAGCTTTGACAAACATCTGTCAGGAATGTCCTAGGCAGAGTTGATCCTTTGTTAGATACAAGAGTGTGGAAATAACAACATTTTGTAGCCTTTTCTAGCTCTACTTTCTGTATCTTACGATTTTCACTGATGCATACTGTGTGATGGATCTCAACTTTCTCATAGGAAAATTTGTGACTCTGAAGATATACCAACCTGTGTCAAGTTTACAATTCATGTTGAGAAAATCCCATCAAATGTAACTTGTATCTTGATGATTACACTATTTCTCTGTGTCTTTGTTTTTTCCCTCTAGGTGGAAAAGTTTGGAAAGGCGTTGAATTATGCAGAAGCAGCACTATCATTTATTGAGTGCGGAAATGCAATGGAACAAGGCCCAATGGAATCTAAATCCCCTTATACAATGTATTCAGAAACAGTCGAACTCATCAGGTAGGAAGGGAGGAGGTTACTCTCTGCAAACATGCTCATCTACATTATCACGTAATTCCTTAGATACAGTAAAAGGGGAGAAGTGAGGTCCTCCCAAGTGGGATGTAATGTGTATGTATTATCTGTATTGAAATTAAATCAGGAAAGCGTGTAGAGTGAAAATCAAAACAAACCCAAACAAACACCAAAGCTTTTCATATTACTTAGGTTGCAAATTATTTCAATAGCTTCACGATAAAAGTTTTGCTACTCAAAAGAGAAAAATAGTAATACATAATACCAAAACATTCTCACGGAGTGGTAGTTTGCAAAATATTGCAATGTGTTTAAGACTGCAGTTTAAAGGTTACCTGAACAGTGAAAGGAAATTGGACGCTCAAGGTCCATTCCATTTGGTGCATATGCTCCTCCTGTAGCCAGTGGAGTCCCAAAAGCAGTCCAGCTCGCACCAAAGCTACCCCTACATTTAGTCACCTCCATGACTCTCCAAACAGGACAGTAGAATTGAATCCCACCCACAGCTCCTATGAAGAAAGTTTGTCTCCTAAGTCTTTTTCTCCATTATAATTGGTACTAAATAGTTAACTTTACTGACAGTGTCAGTAGAGAAAACAAGGGTCAAAATCATCCCAGCAGCTGAGTGACGCTCTCCGCAAGGGAACAAACCCAGTCACGGTAGCAGAGAAAGCTGCACGGTCAGGCCAGGTTTCTGACTGCAAGGTTATTAAACAAAATCAAATTATTTTTTTTTTCAGTAAGAGAATAGTACATCCCATCTCTGCAATTCTTCCCTTCTTTTTTTCAAAAGGCAGAAAGCTCTTTCTTTCTCTGCCCTGTCTTTTCTCATGATAGTAAATACATGGTCCTAACTCTGCAAACAAATTTTGTTTGCAGATCCATAGCTTTCAATAATGTGTGTAGCTGTGGTTGTGTTGTAGTGTGAATTGCTGTTGATGTCACTTGCCGGAGCTCAGAAAAATAAGTGCTTTGCTGGGTATGCCTGTTGAAACAAGATGTTCATACCAAATCTTTGCACAGATGTCAGGATTAAAGTTTGAAAGCAGAGATAAGAAAAAACACAAGCAGCTAATTGTGGAGGACAGGTATTTTTCTGGAAGCGAGCCCAGAAGTGCTGTGTGTTGTCCTAACCTTGTCCATTGTTCAGGTATTCAGCTGGAAGCTGAGATTTCCAGAAACTAATTTGTGATTGCATAGCACATACACTCTTGAAACAGCAGTGCTACCTCTGTGGATGTTTAATATTTATAGAATTTGAATGTAATGTCATATGAGCAAAAATAGCTCTGAGCCACATGTTCCCCTCTGCTGTGCTCTGCTTGGAGGAGCAAATCTGGGTAGACACGCTCAGAACTGGCAGGGTGAGGACAGCACCAGCTTCAAGGCAGGCTGTCTGCATTCAAACACTGTGAAAACCTTTCTGCATGAACTCTGTGTAACTGGGTCTCCACAGCAGCAGAGGTTATTTTGGTAGGACAGCATCACCTCACCAGCTAGGCTCCACTCTGGACTGACGGATGTTCAAGGGAGTTACTGCTGTTTGAAGTGCACAGGGAGGCACTCCTAATGGAAAAATAGCTCTGAAACACAAGCAGAAAAAGCACACGTATGTCTGGTAACTTGAGCAAATATGTACAAGGGGGCAGATCAAATGACATTGGGCAGTTTAGCTCTCTGATCAGTAATATAAAGCTGTCTCAGTTAACTCATATTGGTTTTTTATTTTTTGTTTAAGGTATGCAGTGAGACTAAAAACCCACTCAGGCCCCAACGCCACGCCAGAAGACAAACAGCTGGCAGCATTATGGTTAGTAGATGAAGATTTCCTCAAAAGGCTTCTCTTCTGCAGTGAGCTGGTTCTTGAAAACCAGATGCTGGACACAGCCAGATAGGATTATGTTGTCCATTGAAATTAAGAGAATACTTTCTGCTCCAGGAAGGTCCAGCCCTTGTATCGCTGTATCAAGTCTGCATGCTGTCTCTGTAAATAAGCAATTCATACTTATTGACTGTGACAGGTCAGCTATGGTATGTCAGCATAATTAATTTTTAAATGCCTGATGGTTTGTTGTTTTTATGAGTGATGTACTTTTGTACCAATAGCTCGGTCATTTCTTTTGTGACTGACATTTTAGGCTCAATAATCGTAAATTCTGTTTATGTTACATGAAGGGAGATACGGTGATGGTGATAATTAAGCCTTTTGGATTACCCTCTAAATTGAGATTTCTAGATATATAAGCATGCACTTTAGATGCTGTAGGACGGCTGCTGATTGCTAGTAAAATACTAAAATGTTATTAAAATCAAAATTTAATATCTATGTGGATAATACATAAAATACCTGTTACATGGTTACTGATTCTCAGTAAGTGGACATTTACAATCAGCAAGTGTGTTTTTAACATCTATTAACCATCTGTTAAAAATCCAAATCAAATCCATCTTTAGCCTCCACAGATAAGGGCTCCTAATTAATTCTTTGTATTTAAAAGAACTAAATATTCGGAGATGTGTTTATTTTTTAAATGCCCTTTCTTTGTCACTGGTTTGCTGCGCTACCGGGAGGAGCACAGAATGCGCTAATGGCAATTGCTTCAAAGACGCTTAGGTGGGAAAATGACTAAAGAATGGTTAAAAAAAAATCAAGCCGTATTACAAAGGGTTGCTGAGAACTGCCGGAGCGCCTCGGTATGCGCAGAGCCACATCCAAATTCACGGAGCCGCTGCATCTGTTTCAGCAGAAAGGTCAGCGAGGGGGAAAGCAGACGGTGCCTTCGCTGGGCGATGAATGGCAATCTTAACTCACCGTCTGCCAGGCAGCAGATGAGCTGACACCATTTGCATATGTGCTGTACCTGTGAAGGTGACAGAGTGAGAGTTATGGTGGTGGCTGCGAGGCCACCGCATCCCCTGGCAGGCGGCGCCGTGCCCCCCCCATCCACTGGCAGCTCCCAGGCAGCTCCGCTTCTCCTAGGGAGAGACTGCCCTCCAGCGGCCAAAGGCAGAATTTCACCCTATGCTTTCAGGGCAAGAGGCTGAGAAACCCTACCTGAGATATTTTTCAAGAGCAATTTTGCTAATTCGATGGGTTTGCTGAGGTTTGGGCAGCTCCTGGGCACGGAGAGGTGGTTTTTTCTCTGCGCTTCCAAACTCAAGGCAGCTTCTGGTGCTCCAGGTTAACTCCAAGACTACATACAACTTAAAAATAAAGCCTCCGCTGCCAAAGGAAAAGCAAAACACGTCAGATACTTGCTTTGAAAGCTGTGTTACTGTGGGGCAATCCCACAGCCGTCGGTCATAAAGCTTGCTGGGAAAAGGTGATGGTGATTCTTGGTTTAGAAAATAGACCAGTAAACCTAAAACCAATAGCAAAGAAAAGAGTTTGTGTGTCCTGCATGCTGATTATCAGTTATAGTGATGTATAATTATAGTTAATACCTATTACTCTCATTTAATTACATAGCATTAACAGTGTGTGGCACCCTGCAGACTAAGGAGGCGCATGGGGGCAAGACAGTTCCAGTAGAGCACATCGAGTTTTTCAGCCCACTGCTGCTTTCCTCTGGGGAACAAATCCATCAGATGGCCTAGGAATAGCTCCCAGGCTCCAACACAATCTCCATTCCGGTTCACACAGAGGACCTTGGCCAGTGAAATCTGGGCACGTCCGAGGTTTCCCTGTTTCCCAGCTGACTCCACCTGCTGGAAGAGAGCGGTGGGTGTACACAAAATACACCCATTGTAACTGGAGTTCATTAACAAGCTCCAGGCTATTGTAATAAAGACCCAGGAGAAGGTACCCCAAAAGGCTGCCTTTGCATTTACAAAACATACATTTTTAAAAATGCATATGTTGGGTTCCAGGCCTGTAATGACCTTTTCACAGGAGAGGCCTTTGATCAAGTGTGCAAAACTTAAGGTCAGAGTCAAGGCCTGGGAACCCAAACCTGCAAACCCTTCTGAGAACAGTTTGTTGAGTACCTTACTGGTAGCCTTTGTCAGTGTGACCTGTCCTGGCTGTAGTACTTAGACTTGCTTGTGCATCCATGGCAAAGTGGAAAGTACTGTAAACACATGGTGATAAAATTCCTAAGCAAGGTGCTGTCAGCATTCCACTCTCTGTTAGTTTGAGACTTTAAGATGATTGGGGTTTCTGTTCAGGGGGCATGCCTTACCTTCTGCTCTCCATTTTGTTCTAGTTACCGCTGCCTGGCCCTTCTGTACTGGAGGATGTTTCGACTCAAGAGAGACCATGCGGTCAAGTATTCAAAAGCGCTTATTGAGTATTTCAAGGTATATTCTTTATGGCATGTTTTTAAATCCATGTGCCATTATAGGAAATACGGCATCTTACTTCAACAGTGTGCTGGGCTTAGGTCTTCCCCTGTCAAGTCAGTGGAGTTTTACCATAGACTCCCATGGCAATTCCTGATCTCTCTGCAGTTCTCTTGTCTTCACAAGGGCCCCTCTTTGCAAAATGCACAGTGTCCCTTCATGAGGATGAGAGATTCATTGTACTAACAAACAGGTATTTTCAGATTATTTTTGGTCGATTGCCTAGTGTCATCCAGCTCTGTTATGATCAGGTTTGCAGATTTTCCTCTAAGAATCCCCTCCGGGATTACACTTCCCACTAGACCTGTGAGTTGAAGACTTTGATCTAGATCAGTCCTCAGCTGCAGGGCTTCCACTTAGCAGAACTGATAGGTAGGAGAGTGCAGTGGGACATGGTCTTACTCATGGAACTGGCAAACGGCCCACACTGACTTCAGTGGGAGTTGTACGAAGGCATCAGAGGGCAGCCAAACCACCTGCCATGTACTTGACATGACACTGCTGGCTTCCCCTTCCTGCTTTGCTTCGCCTGCTTCTGCTTCCGTTTTCCACTCTGCCAAGTCCAAACCCTGGTTATGTTCAGTAAGACAGGAAGTCACTTGAAGTATTTTAATACATTTTATTTGACAGGCAACCTTTCCCTGGAAAGTATCTCAAGAACAAATCCTTTCAGGTGAAGTTCACCCAGCAGTCAGTCCATCCAGCACTTGATCTGCAAACACACAATTAGCCTTTATCTTTCTAAATAATAATAATGATAATAATAAATTAACACACAAGTGCTTTAAGACAAACTGCTTTGGGGCATCTTCTGAACAGCCATTTGTCTTTGAACACAGGGATCATCTCTTGGGTTTTTATTGCAGAGGGAGGTACCTTGAAATGAAAAACATCCATTCTTTGACATTTTGTTGATAAAAAAATTCAAATACAAGCAGAAATGCTCATGACCAGATTCTGAACACATGAAGACCGTGAAGGAAATTGACAGATCTGTTATTGTCAAACTGAAATTGAAGTCACTGTAATTGCTTCTAAAAATTTAGCAATATATAATTCAACAACTTATGTTTCTCTAACAATGACTTGATTTCAGGGGAAAGAAATATGTGCCTATTACAGTACTTTATTCTTCTTTACCAGTTCAGAGAATACCTGCATTAAGAGCAGGATGGTCAGGCTCTCAACCATGTAAAATGTCTCATACTAGCAGACAGAAACTGTTTCACAGCAAATATAAAATGGACTTATACTCTGATATAGCCAAGATGAGCTTGGATTTTTGCAGAGCTCCTGCTGATATAATGATAGTGCAGTTTCACATTAGAAAGTAGTCTCACCTTTGAAAGTAAAAATGGGGAAAAAAATCCATTTGCTATAATTTTCAGTGGAAAACAAGCCAATTCTCCACTCATTTCATATTTGGTATCTAAAAGCTTTCAAAACCAAGTGATGTGAAATGCTGACTGCATTAAGAACTTCCACATATATTATCAATCAAAGAAAGATTTTAAGCCTTGTCACACACATTTGCAGAGAAAATTAGACACAGTTTTCTTTTAGAAAAAAAAATATTTAAAGCTCCCTTAAAGTATTTTATTTCCATTATTTAAAAAAAAAAAAAAAAAAAAATGCAGAGAAAAATAAAAAAGAAGCCACAGATGTTCAGGAGCCAGACATATTAGAGAACATAAAGAAACCAAGAGAATGGGCAGCAGTAAGCAAAGTGGGATAAGAGATGGTCCCTTACAACATTATACTCTTTAGAATCCTTACCCCACCCTTTTGGTGCAGAACTGAGAGGAGGCTGAAAAACTATAACTAAAACACGAGAAAAAAGGTGTGGCAGAGGCTGGTTCACATTTACAGCTGAAGTATCCTTGACTCCACTTCGATTTTTGTATTTTTGTGCCTCCAGCTCTGTAAGTAAATAACATACACTCGGTCTCCATTACGCTAGAAAGACAAAGGCCAGTAGTTATTCTGCAAGAGAAGCAAATACTGAGGATTCCCAGGCTGGTTCTATTTAGGACAATAAACGAGAACTTTTTCTTTTCACACCTTAACCCTTCCTGCCAAGGAAAAAAAAAAAAAAAAAACGAAAATCCATTGAAGGAAGAACCCCCTGTGGGACACTTTAAAGGTTATTTTTCATACCACTTGCCTGGGATGCAGAAGGTCCAGTGTCAAAATGCAGGAAGAATGCCAAGACGCACAGCACTGATGTGATTCTTGCTAAAATACAGCCAATGCCAGTGTGCACATGAACAGTGTGGGAACACAAACAGCAGTTCAGAGGCCACATCAAAACTGAGAAAACAAACTTTTGGAAGAGGTGCTAAGGAGATGTGTCCAGCTTACTGCAGAACAGGTTAAGAGAGGATGTGATCATTGTGGATAGGAAAACAGAGCTGATAATACCAGGCAACATGCAGTTTTGCTGGCATTGGACCAACAACCAAAAGCTAGCACTGAAGTTAAGAAAGTTCAATCCTGAAACTCTGAAACAGAATCTGTTTTTCTAACTGTGAAGCCTACTAAACATTAAAACAGGACACAGGAAAACAGGGAGGATAAATAGTGCTTTAGGATTTCTATATGACTGGCTATCCTTTCTAAACAGAGTAAAATAAAATAAATTTTAAATGTCGTTCAGCTTCTGTAAAAGTTCCATGATTGGTGGGAAAGAGAAATTGTAGAACTGAGGGATTACTCCTGGCCTTGAAATCCATGAAGCTCTGAAGCCCCTGGTTTATCATTTTTCCTTACCAAGCCATGGGAGACAAGCGTTTTTGTAGCGCTGTTAATGCTTGTAGCTCCTGCAACTTGCAAAACCTGCAGCCTTGCATTTAACAATATCCATGAACTGATCTAAAGCTACAGGACTTCACTTGGTCTCCCATGGTTGTCAAGAAGGAAAGTAAGAACACAATTATCTGTATGTATGGTTTCAGGGGAGAGTGTGCAGAGGTCACTTTCCTCTGCAGAATCAGAGACTGGCCATTCCTGAATATGAGACTGTGGATGGGATGGACTAGGAAAGTTTTGTTTCTTAGACTTCTTCTGTTTTCTACGTCCTTCTTTCTCACAGGCCCAGGATTAAATCAGTCACTGCACTTGGGAGAGGAGAAGAGTTTTCTCACAGGTCAAATGGGCAGAAACCTGCCAGAAAATTCCCACCAGCTCTTACACACTAACAACTAGAATAATTTTATTTATTCAGTTTCCATTACTGCAGAAACCTGAATTTCTGCTCTGTAAATGTAGTGCTTGTACAGGGTAGTCTCTCCCCAAGCAATGGCATTCTTTAGGCTAAGCAGACTATTCCAGTGAGTGTCTTAATGACTGCAGGTACACAAGAGATCACAGTAAATCTAATGTCCCCTTTTCAGTGGGGGACTTCCTTCAGCTAAGAGAAAACAGCAGTCTACAAGGTCAGTCTCTGACACTGTAAATGCTGCTGTATTCAGACAAAGGGGAACAGCTCCAAGAGGAGCAATCATGAGAGAGATTCTTGAACCTGGTGTTTAAAACACCCACCTGAGCTGAAGGAGCCTCTGATTCACATCCCTGTGGTCTGCCAGGCTGAGCAGACTTCCACAGTGTTGCAGGTCCTAAGGGAATTACATTTGTCTTTGAGGACAGGAGAGTAGGAGGAAATCCTTCTGGCTTTCTCTTTCACAAGAAATTCTAGCCTAAACCTCACAAAGAGTCCTAGCAGCTCTTTCTTCTGAACTCCCAGGATTTCTGTGGAAAGTTTCCTTTCCAACATGTTTTCCTAATCAGCCTCCACACCAGCGTGTTAAATAGACTGTGCTGCAGCACTGCTTCATCACAAAACCAAACCAGGCTGAGTGGGTTTATTGCATCATGAGACTTAAATACTTCTACTTGCCAATTTTTTCTTTACCTTTCTTTACTTCTATACTGTTTAATGTACTTCTTTTCATAGTCTTATATAAATTATATGCCTTCTGAATTACTTTTCCCGTTACAGAATTCATCAAAAGCTGCCCAGAACCCATCTCCTTGGGGTGCCAGTGGAAAGTAAGTCACACAGAAGCATACATCAGTTTGGCAGTCAGAAGTTGTATTTTACCTGCAGTATGTTCTGATATTCTGATGTTTTTAATCCCAACACCTTCCTAAGTAACTGTATTAATATCTGTTTCCAGGAGCACAGGAACACCATCGCCCATGTCTCCTAGCCCTTCTCCAGTCAGCTCTGTAGGATCCCAGGGGAGCACAGGGGCCCCCTCCCCATCTCCTATTGTCAGCATCCCGCAGCGCATTCATCAGATGGCTGCCAACCATGTCAGCATCACCAACAGCATCCTGCACAGCTATGACTACTGGGAGATGGCTGACAACCTGGCCAAGGAAAACAGAGGTGCGTGGGTCAAGGCAATGGACTATTCTAGAAGGCTGTCACATGATTTTAATCAGGAAAGTAATTATTTTGATAGGAATCCTCTCTGCAAAGTAAGACTGCAGAGGTGACTTTTTTCTTCAGTCTGCTCATAGCCTGATCAAAACAGCCCAAAAAGGCAATTTTGATAGCTGTCTTGCTATCTCACTGGGGTTTTTTTTCTTTATTTGGCTGGTCAGGACTGGTGCCAGACAGGTCACAGACATAGCTGTGGGTAGCATTCACTGCCATCTGTGCCATTCTGGAGAGAGAGGTTTGTGGCAGGCAAGGCAGCTTCCTTCCCCCCGCAGTTGTGGAGCTGGATGGAATGTGTTTAGCCAGACCATGTCAAAAAGTAAGAGCACACTTCCCTTCTGCAGAACAGCCCCTCGCCCTCCCCACATCCAAGCAGACACAGATGGGAACGAGGCACCTTGTTCCCTCTTCAGAGCAAACTTCTCTCAGCCAAACTGGTTTCTATGAACAAGTGTCTCAGCATCTGACTTGATGGTAAAGTATTGCTTGGTTTTCAGACTAAGTTATGGATTTAAGGCAGGGGCATGGCCAGGATTCAAATCCAAATGAAGACACCTAAATCTAGGTGTGTTTATATGAGTTGCGGGGGGAGGGCTAATCTCACATTGCAGTTGATGGAGCTTTGTTCAATACAATCCGCAGAGTTCAGAGAGCTGCCCAATTCACCCTGAAAGGGAGACTGGGATACAATTCAGTTCTTAACCACAGCTGCCAAATGGCATTATTTGAGGTATCCTTACCTACACTCCCACTGCAGAAGTCTCCTGTGTGAGATCTGCCTGTCCAGGTTGTATGTGTCAGCTGCCTGAGAGCATCTCAAAGGGCATACATGCCCCTAAGTAGGCAACTGAATTAAGCCCCTAGTGGCTAGTTGGCCAATTTATTCTTTAGGCTGGGCTGAGCATGTTGTACCGGTCTCTATTTCTCTGTTGTGGTAGCTTAAATATCTAGCATATGTATAGACTTTTGTGTGTAGATTTTTTGATTTAGTTGTCCTTAATCTTCAGATAAATCTTGGCCAGCATCTGTTTGCTTTATCAAGACTCAGTGGAAATTAATGAAAAGCAAAGCCAAAGAACTCACTGCTTGGTTCTTTAAAAAGTAAATTGTTGTGCATCAGCCTGTAACATCATGAACCACAGGGCTTTAGAATTAATCTCGCCAGCACTAAACTTGCATTCATATGAAACATTCAGCTTGGCTCAATTTGCAAGAGAATAAAATCTATTAAAGGGTGACAAGTAGCAAATAGAGCTTCACTCTTCTGATGCTGAATCTTTTTTTCCCCTGTAGATTTTTTTAACGACTTGGATGCATTGATGGGACCTATCACCTTGCACAGCAGTATGGAGCATTTAGTTCAGTACACTCAACAAGGACTTCACTGGGTGCGGAATAGCGCTCACTTGTCATAATGACTGTGTGCCATTCACATGGACAGTATACCTTTCATGGATAATTCAGTTATTCTGGACACTGTGCTACAGAAATAGTCAACCACAGCATTGATCCAAACAAAGGTGAATCTTTCTTCAATACTGAGTAAAATTTTTCTGAGCGTAGACATGTATGTGTGCATATGTACAATATACAACGATGTCTCTTCAGAATGAATTGTTCTGTATTGCTCTCCAAACATTTTCGTACACTAGAAATACTAGAAAGAACTGATCTTAATGCACAAAACATACCCCTTCTATTCTTGTACCGAAAAACTCAGAAACCAAAATCTCATGGGTTGATTGATCCAAGTGCAATAAGCACAGATCCCTATTCAGGAAAGCTCTCAATAGATTCTTAACTTTAAGCTTGCACTGAAATTCTGTAGACTTCAGCAGAGCTTAAGCACATAAACAAGGGCTTTCCTGAACTGGAATGAGTGAGGGCAAATCATAGACATGGAGAACTTACACTGCGAGCCTGGACACGTCACAGAAGCGTCAATATTAATGTGCCATTTCCCTGTTACTTCTCCACTGGGGCACACAGCGCAGTTGTGTAGCTTGCATTAGGTTGGAGAAAGATGGCATTCCTTCATGTGCAATAAGTTTCAACAAATTGCATGCATTTCTTTATCTCCTGTCTTTTTAAATAATTTTACCTCTTGTTCAGATCCTCACCAACAGTATAACCTGACAGGATCAAGCAAAAAGCCTGAAAACAGACACGCTGATAGCAAAAGCTTTGCAGAGATGGTGGAAAATTGCATTCTGTTACTGATAGTAAATAGATAAATGAACAAATATGGCAAACTGCAATCCCATTAGTAAAGAAAATGTGTTAATTTAGCTGCATACACATAGAGACAGAGAGATATCTGTACCAGTTGTTGACTTTGCATGGGAAGGCTTCATCCCACAGATTTTTACTTTTGTACCTTTTTTAATCTAGCAGAAGCTTGCAGCATTTTCTTCTAGGCTGTATGGGAGCATTACATGCATTTTCCTTTATCTGGGAAGCTGAGTTTGCTGCTCATCAGGCTAAGAACTGTTTCCTATCATAATCTTCTCACTCTTCATGCATAATCCTCAACTACGCGTTAACGTTTCTTGATTTATGGGATGTTTTCAGTTCCTGTTGACAGGCTGTGTTTTTCATGCCAGAATTAATCCCACAATAATTGGAGTTCAATTTGGGTCAGCTGAGGGCAAGGCTAGTTCATATCAACTGTGCTTGCATTCAGTGCATTTTTGTTCATTTTCAGTGGTTTTCACACATTCAGTTTTCTTTTTCTGTACTTAAAAAAAAATAAATTCTGTAAGTTAAAAAAGTTTAATTTTTTTGCAATCAGATTTGCAGCTTTTACTCAGTTGAGCAGCTCCGGTGACTTTCAATGGTCTGTTCTTGTCCAAGTCACTGGTTGGACCCTTTGATGGTTGTTTTCTAGTCTAATTTACTTATCTATTAGGAAAACATAAGTACCAAATACTCTTTCAATGGAAGATCCAATTGATGGCTGATTGGTTGGTCCTTGCTGCCTTTTTTTTTCTTCCCCCATTTTTGAAGAGCTGCATTCTGGAAAAAAAACCAAGCCAAATAATGCAGCACGTTTTCTGAGCTAAACATCTTTGGTAACACAGGCTGGCTGTACCCTGTGGTTAAAAGCAGGCTTCAGAACACATTGAGCCCCATGTACCATAACTCCAGCTACTGCTCAGACTCGGAGCACTCACCCCATTCTTTGAAGCAGCTCAGCAGGTACCTACAAGGAATTGCTCAGCCCCAAGCTGGGCTGGGCTGGGCTGATATTTGTGTCCACTGGTGCTCAGATACTTCCCCCTAATTGAAGTCCTGAGCCACCTCTTAGCACAGACTTGAGTGTTACAGTGTCTGGCTTTAAGAGTGAACATGGACCTGCCTTTAAATAACAAAATAAACATCCTCCAAGTCTTCCTGTCACTCTGAACTCTGGCTGTTACCCGCCCCAAAAAAGCACGATTCATTTGGTCGCAACTGCAGTGGAGAACTTGATTGGTGCCTTTCAGTTTATCACTTGCCTGATCTCCAGCTGTGGGAGTCTGTCAGGATTTACTAGACTAGCAGCAACAGATTCCATCAGCTGCTTCAATACCATATGAAGGTACTGTGGGATTTCTCCTCAGATCAGGAAAGTGAAATTCCGGATAGATTAGCTTCTGTTTCCTTTGACGGTGCCTATGATGTTTATCTCCAGATAAGTTTGGGAGCCCTTACTGCTATTTAATGTTGAGAAATTTTAGAAGTGACATATATTACTTGCCTTAAATGGAGTTTAGTTTTATTGCACATGTGGCATTTGAGTTTCAAATATGGAACTTTGAAGCATGTTTATTTTACTAAGATTGGGATATTTTTCTTAAATCACAATGAACTCTTTGTATGGATGTAATATGTCAAGAAACTTCAGAGAAATGCAAGAATTAATGCCATCCTGTTGTAACATTTCCAAGTACTAAGGATCTCTTGTAGATGATTATCTTTTCTTGTACATTGCTCTTTCATTGAATTATTCCAGCTAAAATGCCCATTGCTTCCATGGAAAAACACACTGGATTTTAGTTTTTGTGCTGGCATCATCTGTGTTGTCTGATGAGTACACTGAGCCTTAACTTCTGGTGGTATAACAGGATGAAATAGCAGCCATTTAAACCAACTAGACAACCCCTATGTTCTTCTCTCCATAGAGGTTCCTGCAGCTGTACTGTTTTGGTGAGGTTATTTAGAATACTCTTTCGTGCAGACCACTTGCTGTGCATGGTTGCTGCCATTTATATGGCTGAATGTAGCATGCTGACAAGGAATACATCATTTCACGTTTTTAGGGCCTGGTCTGGAGCAGTGCATGTGGCTTTTAGGTCTGGTCCAGTTAAGCATATGCTCTGTCTTAAGAACCTGAATAGTCTTAGGCACTTCACCATGAGTCAAAAGTGCTCTGTGTGTTCTGGATGAGACCAGAGGTGACTGTCCTTCTCTGGAGTTCCATGAAAGACACTGGCTTGTTCCAAATCTGTTGTAGAAGTCCGCGAACATTCAGGCTTCTTTACATGTTAATAATGTTCAGGTTCATTCTGGGAAAGTAAGAAGTCATTCTGTACAAATCCAGAAGGATTATCCCTGAAGGGAGAGGTTTGCTTACAAACTGAAGCAAACAGAAGGGTTGGTAAAGCAATGGGAATGGATTCAAAGGAACCATGTATTGCAAGTGGATGCAACAAATAAAGAGCAGCCTATAGTATCCTCACAGAAAGCAAGACCATACCGACCCCTTGGCCTTAATCATTTATGGTATACCATGACTGACAGGTAAGAACAAAGCATATGCAGAGGTTCAAGTGCGGTCAAAAGCCAAGCATAGTCCTCCCTGTCGCATGGCAGGATATCCCAACCTCTTGTTTGCCTATTTCTTTTGTCCAAATATCACAGGGCTCCAAAGGAAGAGATTATAGTGAACAGATGACCTTAGGTAAAGGAGATGAAGAAGATCAAGCCCTAAGTGTAGATACAAACACATATGTATATACTGTAAATCTAAATAATGATAAAAGTCACTCAGCATGAAGGATATTACTAGTGCCTACCATTGATCATCAAGTACTCATCACTGAGGAGCCATATCACCTCAGAAGTGCAGTAGCTGTTATCAAAATAATTTGTGTAGCTAATTAATTTATAAGAAATGCACCTTTGGGACTGTGCCATAGTATCTCTTTCGTAATACAAATATTCAACCATTTTTCATGTCTACTGATTCAAATCTACATCACTGAAATGTCAGGATATCTTTTTTTCCCTAGATAAGGACATATATACTTAGACATGGCTAATCTGTGCTTAGTTTATCTACCCAAGAGATTTTAGTAGTCACCAGCCTTAAAGCATGTACAGTATATTCTATTCACTGACTTAGTTGTAGGCTTTAATCCAAATGAAATTGGAATTTGTGAAATTACTTGGATTAATGGCATCTGCCTCAGATATCCTGCAGCTGTGACATTAAATGATTTGTGATTTTAAGCAGGAAAGGTTGAATTTTATGTAAATAACAGTAGACAAATTCCTTGATCTTTTTACAAGAAGATTTTTTTAAAAAATTAAAGGATTGTCAAAGCAATAGGTTTTTTAACTCTCCCAAATTATCTGGAGGGTCATGGGTTCATGGTAAAAGCTATATTAAGAACATCTCCTTCTGCAATATGCCTTGCCTTTATATAATCCTCTTAATGCTTAATACGTCAGAAAAAGATGTTTCTTTTTCGCAGCGATAGCAACGATTCCCTCCCCCATTCAGGGAGAATCCTCAAACTAAAGAATAAATCTCCTGGCACAATAGAAATACAAACAATGCCTGAAGAATATGGACTTGTTAAGATAACAATAGAAGTTTGGCGGGCGCAGACCTAACATGCCTCTCATTTGGTATCTTTTTGTTAGCATTTACATCACATATTTGAACTCATTGTATTTGAAACTAGAGAATTAGTCTGATTTTCATGTCTTGAAAAGGCCTTGTAGGTCTGATCACTGCCATAATTATAATTGTTACATTAGCTTGTGTGCTGTGCACCAAGGGCTGGAAAGGCACGTAACCATAGATAATTTTGTCAGAATGCATTCAGAAAAGCATTTGGATGATCTTATATCTAGTCTCTCTTGGAAAGTAGAGAACAATGTCTCTCACCCCCTATTGTTAGCATGAAAATTTGGCTACTTCAGTGTCTCTCATAAAGCTGTCATTCGCCCTCAAGAAGGCCAAGACTCTGTTTCCAGCGTTACTGGAACCTAACAGCCTAGTGGCCATGCTGTAAATCGTTCTTAAGGTTAATTAACAACCTGGGAAAGTCACTTTAAGCCCTGATTGTTCTTAGCTTACTAAAGCTACATGGAGGAAAAACACTAAGATGTGGAGCATCCAAGGCTCCATCATTCTTTCAAAAGACTATGGTTTGACTATGGTTTTCCTCAGCTATGCAGGTGACATTCAGCTGGGGCTGTTTATTCGGGTAATTCCTCTGCTTCCACTTGCTGTCTGGTTCTATTGTTCCTGGTAGCCTGCAAGTATGCCTGCACTTTCACGGGTGTTTCTACTCCAGCAGCCCAAGCTACCTTTCAAATAGGGTGCTGGAGCATGGAGCAAGTAACCCACAGGTTGCATAAAGGGCCTTGCTTTCCCCTACAAAACCAGCAGCAAATACAGCAAGGCTCTGTCTCTTCTCTGATCTGCATAGCTTGAATCTTACATGCTACTGTAGCTTGGATCCCAGTCTCATCCCTGCTGCCCTTGAAGGACTCCAGAGGGTCCAAGGAAAACAACAGAATTCCTGTGTCCCAAGGCACATATTCCTTTTTGGGAGTACATATAGAGAACAGCATGAATCATAAGACACTTGGGTCTCATGTTTCTCATATGTACTAACAGAGGGATACTTAACACTTATCTGCCTCATAGGGCTTTATGAGAATTAATTAATGTTTGCAAATCACTTTGTATCCTCAGAAGGAAAGTGCTGTAGAAGAGCTATGGAAAAAACTGCTAAGTAC